CTGAAAGAAGTGGTATTCCAAAATCGAATGGTATTGAATATGATTACAACACAAATGGGAGGAGTTTGCATGTATGTCTGTGGCTATTTGCCCTGATTGATCTACATAAGTACAGCAACTAGTATTCACTAGTGTGCAATCTGGCAACATGTGAAAGTGCTTCAGGAGGTGACAAAAGATGACACTTCTTGGACAAACCAACTTTTAGAAACACATCCTGGCTTCCAAATTTTAACTGGCTGAAACAATTCTTTACGGGAGTTTTATTTTTGGAACTGATCATCCTTTGTACATGTGTGATCACTCAGTGTATTCCATGGTGGTGTAAACGAACAACGACCTCATATGATGATTGGAAGAGCTACCAGTTGAGAAATAGATTGGAGAGGGGAACATATTTTCAGAAATAAGTGTTAATAACCTCATGAAGTTGAGAAAGAATTCGCAAAAGAATAAAGAAAGGGGGGAAATGATACATATGGTCTATATCAAAGTGACAAGATGCTTATGAGGCCTATTAATTGAAAACTTTCTATAGCCTTTTTATACGTTATCAATATAAGAATGTAATCACTTTTTACATATTATTAAAATACAATGTAATCCCTTTCAATATATTATCAATGATAGCTTATATATATATTGCTATAAGTTTTTTAATAGTGTATTAGCAACATATAGTATACCAKCTGCACGTAATCTAACCAGCTGGATTAGTACATAGATACGTGAAATCACCAAGAGGCATAAATCAGAAGAGTTCTGAAGAACGTAGACAGGTAGATGCTATAAACAAGGAACAGTAGAAAGCACTAATGAGAACTTGGCAGAAGCACAGGACAGTCAGCAAAATAATTGGAAATGACAACTTGGAGGACTAGGAAAAAACCATGAACATCACAACTGCGCATGCCCTGAAGACAAAGGTGAAAAGTCCACCATGATGAAGAGGATGGTATCTCATTAGAGGGAGACCCCCGTGACCACCGAATTGAGGATGACACACTTGTAAAACCATGTTATCATGTATTTCCGTGCCCATGGGTGTATGGTGGGCGTATGGGGCACAGTGACAATGTTCATGTTATACCATGCTTACTGTATAAATATGTGCTAATATGAAGCAAAGGCAGGTGGGTTAGGAGGAGAAATCTCCCTCACCTCCAGCACTACACCAGCACTGCAATAAACAAATACCTGCTCTATAGACACCGGTCTATGGGGTTTTATTTCTAGGCCTTTTTCGGGCATCAATAGCCTGATTTTTCTGCACAAGATGGGGACTCATCCAGGATACTTCYGCCATTTGGAAAAGGCACACAGCAAGGGGAGCTGGAGGCTTGCCTCACCCAGTTTCAGTGATCAGCTTCCTTTGACACTGCCGGCACTGGATGATTGATTGGGTTCCTGAGACTGTCCAGGAGACAGATGAGTGACAGACAGGGGGGGGTCCATGAAAAGTCTGCCGGAAAGGACAACTGAAAATTTCACCTGTGAGTACAATGGGAACTTCAGGGATTAWACATGCCTGGACACCCAGAGTGGGTAGTCAAGGAAAAGTCAAGAAGGGATCTCGATTATAGGGATGAGWGTCCCGGAATACTTCCAAAGGGTCCTTTGAGAGAATGTTGAGATGTTTTGCACATTGTCCCGGAGGCAGTTTAGGACATGGAYGCCCAGAGRGGGCARTAAGGGAAAGTCGAGAAGGGGTCTCRGCAACAGGGGACAGATGGTGSTGGTTTGGAAAAGGATTGGCTGAAGGGGAGTGTGGAGAAATATGGTTAAGGTAAATAGCAATGGGAAACTATTGATCAGAAAAAAGAAACATTGAGGATTGGGATGTTCGCCACCTTGTCTTCAAAATCTGCAGCTTAATACAGGGCCAGATGCAGGTTCTTTCTGCTCCTAGCTTCTAGGATAGGGAAAACAGGGAGGTATTGTTCCTACACCCTCACCCCTCCCCGTGTTGTTGTAAGAGCCAGGATGGAGGATTTGGGTTTATCTGCTTACTACTCAGGACTTAAGGGGGTTTCTCTATGGTGAGGAGTGCTGAGGCCAGGTGCAGAAATGCAGGATGAGCGGCATGGGCTGGGGACCTGTGGGGAGGGGCAGGAATGAGCCGAGGCTGGGGCCGACCAAGCTTCCGCGCACCGTGGCCTGACAGGAAACGCGCGCAGCGCTCTGCCCGCRGACTGCGCTTCCCGGCGCGCCCCGCGCGAGGCCGCGCCTGCGCATGCGCAGGGGACACAAAGGGCGCGGCGAGCGCGTGCCTGCCTGTATCGGCTCCGAGGCGCGCGCGTTATCGCCTCCCGCTCCGCCCCGGCCGCGCTCCCGCCGCCCGTCCCCATGGCGCTGAAACGGATACAGAAAGTGAGTAGGGCCGAACTGTGGGAGGGGGCAGAAAGGGTCCCCCACCCTTGGATAGCACTGAACCCACCCCCCCGTTGCCGGCGATTGTGGTGGCTGCCGGACAGGGCTCAGCGAGAGGAATCGCGACAGCCGCTGCCACGCGCTTTCTCCTTCCCTCGCCGGCAGCGAGGGAAAGGCAAGTGGGTGTGAGGCGGAGAAGAGGGGGCTCTCGCCGGGCGCCTCACGGTTTCGGAATTTTGCCTCCTTGAAGGCCCCACACCCCGACTTGGTGCTTTAACGCGCCGTTTGTGGATCAGCCGCGATGCTCCGAGCGCGATGCGGGAGCCGGGAAAGCCAAGGTGCTGATGGTGGGTCTTTAGCAGAGGCACAGGTACARCATCAGTCGCCCAAACGTTGCGCTGCCGTTGTGCAAGGCTACTCAGCGCCGTTGTCCGGGTTAAGAAGTGCTATCAGCATAATTATTGGTGCAACATTTGAATCCTARTTGTAGTGTTTTAGGCTGATACTTGTAAATGGCCGGAATCAAGTTGTGGCGTGAATTCCTAGTTTCCTTTTGTTTGGCAAGGCCGAACCGATTAGACGGGTATCGCGGGTGGCCTCCACGGGAGGGGACTGAGGTAAGGTCAGGGCTGTCACCGKGGAACAAAATCCGTGGTGTTTGGTTGCTGTTGATGTGCCATGTTTAGTCGGCATTGGTGGTATTCTGGTTATGTGACGGTCCTATAATTTCTTGTTCAGGACTCCCTTTTGCTCTTGGAAGCCATTGGTATTGTAGAAATAGGATTCTATAGTGACTGATTAACCCCGCAATAAGGTAGGGGATACCCTACTGTAGATATCAACTTACTTGGATGGATTTCTATCCTATCTTATGCTACAAAGCTTATGCTTTTGCAGGTAGTGCAATTAAGGGCCATTTTTGTTCCTTCATGTCACATATTTCTCACGAATGTTGCATTCGACCATTATAGTAAATATTAACAAGTAACTCCAGTGATTTCCTTTATCAATAAAGGAAACCACTTTGTCATGCTTCTACGTATTATAGAAATGGTTTGCCTTTTGTTGCCATTTTAATTTCTCACCTCTGTATGAACATCTCCTTACCCTCATGTTTCARGAAAAGGATTGTTCTGAGTACCATGTCTTTCCACTTCTTGTTCAGCTTCTTTCTGCTAAGGTAAACAGATGAAGGGGAAAGTTTAATAATCTAGTGTTTTTGAGATGGAGTGATGGTTTGTGGCTTTCCAAATGAGGTCCTGCTAGAATGGGATAATTCTTCATACTTTTATAATACTTTCTGCGTGACTTTTCTTTCTGCTTTAGAGATATTCATAGATATTGAAAAGCCACAATTTTCTTCAATGTGGCATTTTGTCTTTGATAGATGTGAAATTACGTTAGACTCTTTATGAAAGTATTTTTCATTCTGTTAGCCGTATTAAATTCTGTTTCTACTCTTTCAAAATGAAGCAATGGTTTCCAATCTTGTGACTGTGAGATGCTATGAGATTTCCTGGTTATGCAGTAACTTCTACCCAAAACATGAGATATTGGGTAAGGACTTCCCAGAAGAGTTGAGATTAAATTTGGAACTAGTTACCATTTGCTTCTATTTTGCTGCAGAAATTATGCTGGTTTTCGTGGTTTTTTTTCATTAACTACCTTCATCACTCTCTGCTGCCTTTCCAGGGAAAGAAAACAATTCTACTAGAGGGATTTGGCCAGCAGCCTATCTCTGGAGAAGTAGAAGAGGAAAGGGAATGGCAAGGAAATAGGTTTGTTCCAAATGGAAATTAAAAATGAAGGGGAAAATTTTGAAAAGACAAACTATTTTGATGCTATTGTAATGCATAGATTTTTCCTGAAAATCACGAAACTGGAAGTTTAATGGTAGGTGAAGTGTATTTGTATATTGTTGTGTTTATCTCATCTACTTTCCTGGTGTTTCAGACTGTCTCTAAAGGTTGACAGTTATGTTGTATTCTAAGGATAGGAAGGAATAAGATCTGGAGTAGAGGAAATGCTGTAGTTTTACAGAGTGCCTAGAGGAATTCTTTGGAGAACAAAGCGCTGTCAGAAAACAGGGTGATATTGCTTAGGAGCTTGCCAGTCTAAACATACCGTCTGCAGTTAAGCTTGGGTGGTTCAGGGTGGTTCAGAATTGTGTTTTAACAAAGCCAAGAGATTTTGATGGCAAGCTTGAGTGTTCACAGTAATTTTGATAATTTGTGTGTTCAGTATGACAACACCTATGAAGGAAGCAAAGCTGTAATATGTAGACATTTTAGTAAGTACATTTTTTGTCATACTGGTTCAGACTCTAATTTCTAAATAGCATTGCCATTGGGATCTGTGTCATTGCATCTTGCCTTTGGTTGATCGTCCTCGAGGGACTCATCAAAGGAGGATAGCGTGTAGACCTCCAAGACTGTACCCTAGTTACAGAAAGACTTATCGCCCTTCAGAGCTTTTTCTTAAAAATGGGCAATTGAGTAACCAGGGAAGAAGCTGATCACTGCACCTGGAAGTATGTTGATACTTAGTGCTCTAGGTGGAAGAACAGTGAGGATGTGAAGCCCTGTTCTGCAGGCACAGCTGTCAGTGTTGTCTCCATGACAAACTCATTTCAGAGGTCCTCAGAGAGTCTCAGGTTGGGGGTTTCTTACTCATCGTAAGTTGATGAGCCTGTGTTCATTAACCTTGTCAGTGCTTTGCTTTGCTGTTACATGAGAGAGGTACTGTATTTATTTCTATGCTGTCAAAAAAGTTCGGTTGCACTGTGTGTGATACAGAATAGATGTTCCTTTGGGCACTGAAAGAATAACATGCTTTGTGGGCATTATAAATTCCAGATGTTGCAAATGATAAGGCAAAACAAAAGTGTAGGTTTTAGTTGGGAAGAAATATTGTGCAAAGAAGTCTTTATTCTTGCTGCCTCTGTAAAGTTAAACACCTTGACTTTTGTGCAAGGTGGAAAATAATTCAGGCTGTCAAGTTCTGCAAAATAGTGTGTAGGTCTCAGTTCTGCCCATCTGACTTATGTAGAACCATTTTTCTGGGGGTCCTGTTCCAAATTCTTTGTTCACATATCTAAGTCACTTGGTTTGCCGTCCTGTTAGTTATGTATCACAGCTGAGATTGTTTTTATCATAGGTCCTGTACCTGGGTGCTCCTCCAGYGTTAGTGGGAGGTTAATGTACTTGTTAATGCTCAGGCTGCCTTGTACAAACYAATACATACTTTCATTACAGGCATAAAAATAATCAGACTTAAAGAGACTTTAGAAGACATTTTAAAACCAGAAAGGAGGACATCAGTTTGAGCACTGCTTTAAAAATTGCTGTAGTTTTTATCTTATTGGTACTTAGTGCTTGATTGTTTTTCTCCTACAACTTAGTAAGAGTAGAAGCATTCAAACGTATAGTTATTTTAATGAACTGTATGTCTCTGTGTTTCAGTATGTGCTTCATATGGATAGGCTAACAGGACACAATGACTTGAGAATTTATGTTGAAAGTAACTTCTGTTATTGTAAATTGACTCAAATAAAAATTATTGATATTTGTAATTTAGATTTTTACTTTAAACCTGCAGCCTTTAGATGGTAATGGACATAACAAGGAACCTTTTGGCTCTAACATAAAATGTTTGAATTTGCTTTCAAAACCTCAGCTGTGATACTACATATTTAGCATTTGTTTTGCATTAAAATAATGTATGGAAACAGAATATTTATTACTGACTAACCATTATAGCAATAAATCTTATKATAAATACGTACTTTATGTTTACCAAATTTGTGAAGAACCAGAGAATTCTTTAACTGGTCTTAATTATCATCACTGTGGGGTTTTCTGACAAAAGGTTCCAAGCAGCAATGTACTCATGGAGTTGGTAGGAAATGAGTCTGTGGTCTACAGTGTACTTTGTTCAAGAAATAAAGAACATAGCTGACAAATATAAATCTGTATTTTAAATAACAGTGTGGAGAAAGGCTCTAGTTGTGGTTTTGTGTTGATTAGACAATAAAGATAGCTTTTAGTGATGCTGTCTGCAGTTTATTTTGGTCTTCAGATAATCTGCAGTATTTTTTTCTGAATTTTTTTTTAGWCTGAAAAAAGACATTTTTATATGATATATGACATTTTATATGACATTTTTATATGAGAGTCACTGAGTGTCTGTGAGTACTATGCTGAGAACATTTATTTCCTTGTCACCAAAGTATTCTTTGCAATGTTGTGACCGTAGCTTTTCGAGAGAGAAGCCTGGATGCTAATCGAACATTTAAGTGTTAAGTTGGCCTTGCAGTCTTTGTACTTTTATGAAATACATCCTGTATTATTCTTTGACCGTAGGTATTAGTCTGCACATTCGTAAATGTCTTCAACATTTATAGTTTACCACAGCCTGTTTTTTACAGCTGTTAAACTGGAATTTTTGCTTCATGCTGCTTACAGGGCTGTTCATGAGTGTGTGGTGTGAGGGAAGATGATAATTGGAGGCTTTGCCYATCTCCAGTAGTATGTTAGCAATTAGTATTCTATTCTACCCCTGTAATATTTTATATGAGAGGATTAGAAGATTTAATTCCTACCACTGTCCCCAGCTTAGGTATTTTTCTCTGTACACATTTATCCTGGCTGTACTGGGATACTGTGGCTTGTGTCGGAGCTGTTGACAGATGCTTTTATGTTGTTACGTTCATCAGTGTTTGAAATAACTCCTACTTCTTGTGTGTCTCTTGCAGACAGAATTTTGGGTTTGTGTTCTCATAAAATATGTTGCACCAGTGTACACTGTAATTTAAAGTGGTGAGTTTGTCTTTTTAAAGTGAATCTGCACTGCTTTGATCTATAGATCTTGTTTGTATATGTACATGTCTTGCACTAGCGTTTTCTGTACCAGTGACTAAAAGTATTTGCACAGACCCTTGAAGTGACCAGGCCTGCATCATGCAGCTACATGGTGATAATCTATAAAGCTTGGACAAAGCTGCTGTTATCAATTAACTTTAAATTACAGGGGAATCTCTAGTGTTCACTGTGCAGTCCCTCACATGCAGTTGTCTGGCACTTCTTGGTGAGGTTTCAGCACGTTAAGCTTTGTAAATCTTTGGCCTTCTCCCTTGACAAAGCAAAGTTTTGGCCTTTTTGTAAMGAGCATCTGTGCTTTGTATAGAGAATTCTTGTATTCAAAGTCTCATTCTTTTGTGACTGTGTAAAGTCATGAAGAAGTTKTTCTATGTGTATTTAGAGGATCTTCACATTTGTTCTGCTGTGTTCCATKCTGGGCACTGGCTGGTCAGTCTGACTCAGAGATCTCAGTATCTCCTTGCACCATTTCAAAAGGTGTAGGGAAGCTTGAAGCCTAAATCTTTCAGCTCTCCAGATAATTTTGCRTTGAATCTGAAGCTTAAACAGCATAATCAACAATACAAAGCTGAATAGTTCTTTGTTTTTATCACACATTGATCTGAATTTCTGTATGTAAATATTCAAACTGTTCATACTGGTGGATCATGTGACCACTTTTATTTTTAAACCACATTAGCTTCACTATGTAATTTCATACGGTTGCACAATACAGCTTGAGTTTGCTCTATAAAGATTTTGAAGTTTGGGCTGGCTTTTATGTTTCATAAAGCAGAAGCTCTCTGAATRTATTTTTGAATGTTGCTCTCATTTGGTGAAATAGATGGAAAAAACCCTTTTCTTCAYTGYTGTTAGGAAATGTTAATAACAGGACTTTATAGTTCTGGGTCTCATCAAGGGATGATTAAAAATATTTGGTTTKTTTTTTTTTTTTTAATCATGAACAAATGTCAGTCCTTTTTTAGCCTGAACAAATTGAAGTGTGTACCCAAGGAGCATTCCTCAGTTCTGTTGATTCTTAAGTACACGTGTACCTATGAAAGGAAAACAATTTGTGTRGTTTGGGTGTATGTAAGCATATTGGTGAAAGCTTCTAGCAATAAMGGTGCTGTTCCAGACTTATGACTATAAACTAAAGTGGTTGCCTGTTAGTTCCCATATGCATATGTAATTTTTGCATATGCTTTAGGGACTTTCTGAAAAGTCTAAGCTACATATTTTTCCAGTTACTGCCTTGAATTTAGTAGACAACAATGACTTACAAAATTCATGCTTGTTAGTCTGAGTTCTCTRTTTTGTCACAGTGTAGCATAGCTGTTTGGTTTTGGTTGTTTTTTTTAGTGTGTGTACAAGACTTAATATTCTCTTGTTATGTTAGATCTTGAGTTGCAAATTAGAGTAGACAGTGACTGTAACAGCTGCTCTGCTGATGGTCTTATTTGTCTTTGATGACTGCTGGAAACTTGAGATCTGTTGATTCCCTGTGTGTACTGGCAGTGGCTTGGCTTTGCATGAATAGCTGTTTCTCTGAATCACTCCTTAATGAAATTTGAATCCGCCAATTAAAACAGGGACTGCACTTCTAAAGTGCCTTTATTAGTTAAAGTCTAGGCCAGAGTGTTGTTTCAGGGTCAGCATACAGTGCCACCAACAGAATAAAATGCTGACAAATAGTGCAGGAGATAACCTGAGCTATTTCAGTACACGAAAGAAGTGTTTCTCATTTAAAATCACAAGGATTGTAAGAAGTGACTTCAGAGCAGTCATAAGATATGGTGCAGTGCTTTTTTTTGACTTCAGGGCTGAGAGTGGACCTGTAAGTCTGGCTGAATTTAGGTGTCAGGTCCATGGTAAATTGAGTTGAAATATTTACTGGGTGGCATAAATGGAAAAATACATCACAGTAGTTGAGAAGTGAAGATTTTTAACCCTCCAAATTATAAGTAAGGTTTGATCACACTTAAGTACACTAATTCTACACTTGACTTAAACTTAGTTCCAGTTTAAACCTTGATTTTGTAACTAGTTGCCTTGACTATTATTTTTTCAGTAGAAATATTTCTGGTGTTAGTCCTTAAGGTAAACTCACAGTCCTGCTTATGTTTATTGTTGACTTAAATGTGTATGTTTTGAGTGAGGAATGGAATTACTTACACTGATTTAACACACACCTTTTAACTTATTTCAAAGGAAGTACTTGCATGTAGTCATTAAAGCTTTTACAGCACATCTCCTATCAGCCTAGAACTTGAAAAAGTTGTTTGTGCTTAGTAAAGTAAAAGTTCAGACATCAAGAGTAGTATATTGAATTTAACAAGGAAAATTAAGTAACATTACTGCCTGTCTTGTTTTCTGTTCAAAACAGCAATGATGAATCAGGTGAAAAACTGAGCTGGTTTTGTGTAATCAAATAATAATTTCAATTTACTTGGGACTGTATGGACTCCTTCAAGAGAAATAAATCTGTTGACCACCAAAAGCACCTCTGAATGCATAGAGTTACAACTTGGAAGTTTTTTAATAGTCATTTAAAAAAAAAAAAAGCATGCAGGGAATTGAATCAAGGTATGATAAATAAGGTGTAGAGCTAATATGTTTTCCTTTAGTTTCCAGTTTACTTAGGACCCTTTATATTTTGTTTCCTATCTCATCTCCAGGCAGGCTGCAAGCATTTTATGAGCCAGTTTAGCTCTGATATACATAGACTAGGACAATACAGAAACTTTTGTAAAATCAAAAACTAAGGGAATGATAGGTTAGCATCTGACTGTGAATTAAATGGTGAGTTTATGGACTAATCAAGAAACTCTTCTTTTTTTTGCCTCCCTCAAGTATAGTGAGCTTACTATGAACTTGGTTGCAACTCCTAAATTCTTTCAGATACTAATTTCTAGCACAATATTAGCTGCAAGTCATCTTGCAAAAAAAATTTTTCAGTTTCAGTGGGCATTTCAAGTGTTGATTGTTTTATCAAAATACCAAAAAAAATGCACACAGGTTTAATAAAATTGGTTTGTGTTCCCACTTTTAAAGGGATGATGCCAAGTGCTATGGATTTTCATGTCTTTTAAACATTTCTGTGTTTCTTGCAGGAACTGAGTGATTTGCAGCGAGACCCACCAGCCCACTGTTCCGCTGGACCTGTTGGAGATGACTGTAAGCTCTTCCTAGTACATTCAGTACATTTCAGTTCTGAAAAAGCTCAAAAAATCTCTAATTGTTGTATCTTTTTGACTTTCAGTGTTTCATTGGCAAGCAACTATTATGGGACCTGTAAGTATATGAACTGTGCCCCTTAAAATGTAAGACCTTGCTTTTCTTTTTGTTATGGAAGACTTAATTTAGGTTTCTGTAAACACAGCAGCCACATTCAGCTGTGCTGTGGATACATTGAAACTTTAGGGTATTCTTGTTGTTAGCAGTCTGGTAGCAGTTGCTTTCTGTAACTCTTCAAAAATAGATCCTCTTCATTAAGTCAGAGGTGCTTAATTAGTCASGTGTTTGAGTTGGTGATGGGGGCTACAAGGCAAAGAGCTTGCTTTTCATAGATGGTCAGATCAGTTCTGGAAGATTCATAGGTTCATCCTTCTTAAAAGAGGAAGAGTGGGTAAAATCTAATATTAAAGCTGGTAACTGTAAACACGAGCAGAGTTGCAGGGGGTAATTTTTGGGCTTTCAGATGGAACTTATTTTATTTGATAGCTGTGATGTGGTTCGGACAAAAGTATATATGGCTTTTTCAGACTGCAGCCCAGCAGTGGGTGCTTTTGTTGGCTTTTGTGTGAGAAAGGTGCATTCCTTGAGTTGAGGAAGTTCCAACTCTTGTCAAGGTAATGACATAAGAAATGACAAAAAGGCTTAATACCAGAAGGTTTTAAAGGAAAACTGAGAAGAATTTTAGAAAAAAAAAAAAAAAAGAGAGGAGAGCAATGAGCACAGATGATCGGAGGGAAGGTGTGCTTTTTAATATCCTGGTAAGGAGTTTTTATTCCTAGTGTTTTGCTTTTGGATTTAATAATTTGGAAATAAGAGTCTCTAGTTTGGACAGTGAGCTAAGTCATTGTGCAAGATGAAATTCTGAAATAATATTTAATCCATTAAGATAAAGCATTACATGGTGGAGAAAAGTGGAAATGTGTCTGCTTTGAGACTAATTCTCCATTTTCAGCACAGTTGTTCTGAAACAGTGAAAGATCAGTTACTAGTTTGCTGGTGGTGTGCTGGAGTCTGTTGTCCAACTTGTCCATGGCCCAGCAGCAACTGCTTTTCTGTAGTATACTAAAGCTTTGCCCTTTTTCTTGAACATCTGTGTTCTTTCATATTGCAAGGCATGTGACTCTTCTGATGCTGCCCTCTTGCACTGCCAAAGGGGTGGAGCAACGAAGGGTTAAAAAAAGCTTATGTGCTGTTTGCCACTAATAATGTCTCTGTCCTGAATGACTTTGATGACATGAGTAAGGAAATACTAGCACATAAATTTTGGCTTAAATTCCATTTTCTTCTCCAGTTTGCAGTTCAGCTTTCATATTTGATAGTGGAAAATATTCTTTTCTTTTCTTTTAGTTCCACAGGTGTCTCTAGTTAAGGATAAGAATGAGCATCTCTTGCCAACCGTTCTCAGCCATATCTGCAGAGATACGGGAACAGAACACTTTAGATATTAATACTTTATCTCGGTAACAAAAGAAATTAGAGGTTTACATTTTATATGTTTCCTGATGGCCCGAGGGAATCATAGGACTAAAGCTTACCTTCAGAATTCGCTTCCTCTGTGTCGAAGTAGGGTAACTTCTTCTGTCTATGGGTATTATCAATTTGTTTTATATACCTTGTTCATAAAACATGAGTGATTTCACTTTGCCTTCTTTTTGACCCTGAATGTATCTCATCTTCAGCTTACTTTAACTTTGAAAAATCCATCTAGTATGCAAGCAAGAGGTCCTTTCAATACTAATTGGAAGTACCGTGGCAATGTCTTCTGAGGTCACCTAGTGCTGACTTAGCATGGCAGTATGTATATAATCTGCCTCATTCTGCAGACCTCTGCACTTTGAGTGTGTAAGCCAAGATGGCTTAATGGACTGATTGTGACTTTAGCTATTACAGTCTTATAGTCATCTCTAAAACTGTACATTTCCAAGGTGAAGGTTTTATTTAGCTTGCCTTTCTTTTCATAAGAAAACACAAAAACTTTATCTTCTTTAGCTTTGCTAAGATTGAGTTCCTACATTGCTGTTGTAAACTTACTATGTAATATGAGAGCAGTTTTCTTCTTTCTTAACCAGAAATGGTAGAACTGCTCTCTACCATTTACCATCAAGACTTTGCCACTCACTTTTTAGTTAATAAAAATGGAAGTCCTTCAACAGATGACTGCAACAAAATTATTTCTATCTGTTAACTGTGTGCAACCTGGATGTAAACCTGTGCACATGTTTTCTAACAAAATGCATGTTCACAGATTTGTACAGGTCACAAAGRTGTTGTGTGTTTTAAAAACTCCGTGATGTCATCATGATGAATTGAATTATGTTGGAAAATCCTACTCTTTGCATCTGCAAAGAGAAACCGCTTCTTAAGGTAAGTATGTTTGTAGCTTAAGGATGGAGGAGGATCAGAGCAGCTTTGGTCTTGCACAGACACAGGATTTGGAGAACCTGCTCTGGTTTTTGTATTACCCTCAGTGCAGTGAAGCTACTGATCTTTCTCTCTTTCTCTCCCCAGAAGGGCAGTGCTYGGTAACTGTGTTGTGCTGCTGCAGTAGTAACCACAGTTGGGTCWACTGTACCTCTGCAGGCCAGTGGGAGGGTTTATTTCCCTCTAAGTGCCTTCCCAGTTTATGGCCCATAGYGGGCTGTGTACTGGGGAAAAAGTGGATTTTCTTTAGAAGGTTATCTGCATTTGGAAGGGAAGCTGCGAAACATCTGAAATACATTAATGTTTTATTTGTTTCGTTTTTTTTCCCCAGCCTGATAGTGCATATCAAGGGGGAGTATTTTTTCTCACAGTACACTTTCCAACAGACTATCCTTTCAAACCACCTAAGGTAAGTTGTTTATTTAATTTAACACAGTTTTCCAGTCAAAGTTTACTCTTTGAGGCTTAATTTTGGAAGTTAAACCAGAAGAGTGAGCAATAATATGCATGTTCATCATGGGTGCAAATAAGACTGAAAAAATTGTGTTGGTAGATCTGGTATGACTGGAAAGGAAGGGATGATATTAAGGATTCCAARTGTAAGAACCCTAATCTGATGTTACTTCATTGTTATTTATTTTTAATTACAGATTGCTTTTACAACAAAAATATATCACCCAAACATAAACAGTAATGGGAGTATTTGTCTTGATATCCTGAGATCACAATGGTCACCAGCTCTGACTGTCTCTAAAGGTAAACTCACTGATTAAATAATGAGTTTATGAAGTTGCATACACTGCCATGGCACTTTTTTGTGTATTACTGCACTATCTTAAAAGTGGCAGTGGGAGCTTATTTTTCCTGCATGTTTCCAAAAGGGCAAATTCCATAGGAATTCTTGTTATGATCCAAGATCTTGTGCAGTTTATTTGGAGTGTCACATTACAGAAAAATGCGTGCACAGCAAAGAAATGTTCTAAACCAGGTTGGGCAAGATAATGAGTGTCCACTTAGCGTCAAATGTGATAGCTGACTGTACATGCTGAACTGAGGAGAAACTGATGAGCAGGGCTTCAAAAATCACAATTTGGAAGTTAATGTGAAACCCCAGTACTGATGTTGTGTGAGCTTATGTGATTGCCTTTTGATGACTCTCTGGGTTACCCGAGTATCCTTGTGTTGACTAAGGTATTAATTACACTTTATTTTAAAATTATAAAATTATACTAATTTTACTAATATACTAAAAATATTAGTAGTTCTGGTTTCCATTCCTTTGTAAAATGAATCTTCAGAAATGTAGCTCCTTTCACAGTCATCAGTAAAAGATTTACTAAAATATTCTCATCCTGTAGTTAAACATTCTCAAAAGTTGAACACTGTAGATTTTTTTGAATGTTGAATTAACAGTTAAGCAGTTCTTTTGTTGCAAGCATTTTGTGTCACTTCAAAAGCTGCTTAAAATATGGRTGCTATTGTTTTTCCTCACCCATCTTCAAAATGCTAAGGCACACAGTCATATTACAGAAATTTCTCAAGTGACTCAAAAGGTCAAGCAGTATCACATCTTATGTGCTTGGGAGCTCTCTAAACTACGTGCCTTTTTTCAGAAGTGTCATTGCATTGGGTGTACAAGCAAAGGAAAAATTGTTGGTCTTTGTCAATGGAAATTGCTCTGTGCAAGTCCAGTTGCTGTACCTCCTTAGAAGAGCAACTTCTCATGCTTGCAACCCTGTGCAGTAATCTCACAAGTTGTATAAAATCTAAGTCTAATACTGTTTCCTGAAGTCATTGCTGAAGACATGAATTATTCTTGCGTGTAGTTGGTATAATTTTTTCACATAAATTAGTTGTTTTATAGCTATGCAAAAATTAACTTGTTTCAAGTTATTAAGCAAATGAAAATTGGCACTTTGACATCTACAACTGAAAACCTGTAAAGTTTTTAGGTTTTCAGCACTTTTCTRTCTCTTGTTGAGCACTTCTTTGGTTATAAAGTAGACCGATCTACTGGTTTCATGCTATGACTTGATGTACTTTTGACCTGCTTTCATATTGTATGTTTCATAAACTGGAAATTAGCTCTGTGTTTCATGGGAATTTGTTCTTTGTAGTCTCCAACTGAATCAAAAGTTTACGGCATATTATAGCACCTCTGCTTGGTGTGACCATATATTCTAACCTGATTTTCTAATATTACTGGCACTTAAAATATGTCAGTATTGAAGTGGCTGAACTTTCTGCTTCTGCGAATAGGTGTGGGCTCTTGGGTAACAAGATAAAGCAGGGGGTAAAAAAGGTGTTTTACAGCAGATTCTTACAGTAGCGTGAAGTTCCCTTTTACAACATATTTAGAGTTATTAACGGTGTAGTCTTGTATGCATATTAGTTCTGAGTATAAAAATGGAAATCGCCTAAAAAGTATGGCCTGAAAATGTTCAGAAAAAAMCAGTCAAACATACTTGGTTCACTACCAGGAAATGAATATGAAATTATAAGTGATCAASTATTTTCCAAAATGGAAGACACACTTAGGCAAAATGTTCATATGATTGAGAGAATAACTGTCAGCACAGAAGTTGAAAAGGGTATGCACAAATAAAGTACTCCATGGCAATGTAATATTATTAATATTAGTTACCTTAAATAACTGCAAGTGGAAGGCTTAGTTTGAGCAAGTATCTGTATGTRACTGTGTAGTCTTTAGTTTGGCAAATATTCCTGGGCTAAAATGTGAGAGAGAGATCATTACAAAAGGTACAGGTCCATGGGTTGCAAATGCAAATTCTCTAGGCTTGTATCAGGTGTTATTTACCTAGGCCATAGAAAAGTGATGCTGTATAAACATTTCTGAAGAGAACTGCTAAATGACAGCTTAATACTAACATGCATTCTTCTTCCRATTCCCTCCTACCACCTTCCTTCAGTGTACTGGAATATATTAAAGGATTATAGAAATAAAGCAAACTAACTTGTTTAATCTAGTGTCTCTTTTATTTAGTTTTATTGTCCATATGCTCCTTACTTTGTGATCCTAATCCAGATGATCCTTTAGTACCAGATATTGCACAGATCTACAAGTCAGACAAGGAAAAGTGAGTATAATATWCATAATTGTGTGTGTGGTTCTTGCAGATGGCTATCTGCTATGCACCTTCCACATTAACTTCAGCAATGCACTTTTCCTAGATTTCTACAGGATTAGATTTTTAAATCTTGAGAATAGYGATGGCAAGTAGAAGACTCTAGGTGTACACAACTGTTGGTAATGATTTTTTTTGTACTTAGTTACATAAAACCTTCACTCTTTTATGTAATGTCTTACATTTACTGCATGAAAAATCATCTTCCCAAATATGAATTATTTGTCGCTACTGCGATCCTCTGGTTGTAAAACCTGTACAGAAGAATTTTTTTTCTGTTTAACTGACTGAATTGTTTGGTACTTTTTTTTAGCATTGAGCCATTGATTACTTCTTGCAGGGTATGCAGTGTCCTGTGGCTCATCACATGTCACAGATTCAGGAACATTTGAGTATTGCTTTTACCTTGAGCAATAGACATCAAAAGGGTGATGTACAAGTTACATGGATGTCTGGTCTAGTATTTCTCTGCCTAGACTAAGAATTATTAAAATGGCCTTTTTCTGACAGTTCAGTGTCAGATCTTGTAACTTCTAAAGTGCTTGAACTCTGTAGCTCATTCTGCAAAGRAGGTGGTGTTCAATTTGAGGATATTGTGCATCACCTTGTCCCCATTTGTGCCTCAAGTTTTTCCCAGCCACCTGCTTATTAGTGACCTTAGCTGCTTACTAGTGATTTCAGCTGTTTTGCCTTCTGTTGGTGAAGGAAGTGAATGAGGGATGGTTTATCTCCAAATCTCAAAATTTAATCATTGCTAGGGAAAGTGAGAAAATGTGTTGTCTATAGCTTTATCTTCTTATGTTGATCACCTATTAAATTTTGTTTTGTTTCATCTTGGATTTAGGAAATGAAAGATATGGCTGGTTACCCCTGAGCATTTATCTATGGGTATTTTATTATGAGTCAAGATCAAAGATTTTTATGGTAGCATAATCTTAAGAAGAAAACCAATTAGTGCATGAGTTGCTATACYGATCTTAAGAAAAAGATTTAAAAACTTGTCAGCATTTTTCTGTGGATGACTCAGAAGAAAGTGAATCCAGTCTGAAGAGTGGARTATAGCAAATGTAAGGACGAGAGGGGAAGCTGTCAACTCTTTAACGACATTTACCTTTGGGGTTGTGGAATTATAARATAATCAGCTTCATACCAGAAGGAAAAGATCCAAGACTTAAAACCTAGTAAAAAATGCTTTTCAGAAAGTTTTCTTTTCAAGTTCTGAAATGCAGGTGGCAGTGCAGAATGGATAATAAAATCCCAGTTAATTATACTGAATTTTATTAAACTAWAATGTGTAAACTTTGCTAGACTCTTATTAGCATATACCTTTAGGAGTAATTGACAACAAATTCCTGTTAAGGTACGAATAAGGGAACCAGTTGTGAAGCGCAAATGACGGATGAACAATGCTACACAATTTAATGCAAACATGTGAAGTTGGGTTTGCGTCTGAATAGCTCTGATAGGTAGCCTTAGAAATAAAATGCCTAGTGAGTATGTATGTATTTCTTGGCTTTTAGACTATTTTAATGTTTTTTGACTCAATGCTCAGAGGTGAAAAGCTCAATAACACCTATGTTAAGTAAATACGTGGCCATTTTCAGTGTATCACTAACGGCTCTTCACTGTAATGCCTTCTTTCTGCACGTACAGATACAACAGACATGCAAGAGAATGGACTCAGAAATATGCAATGTAAACTTTTGAAGACATTTTCTTATRCCACAGAGTACTGTAAATTCTAGWTTTTTTTCAAAATTAGAAGGAAATGGAACACAGTTTATGGAAYACAGGTTTCAGTGTGACACTCCTTGAATTTTTTTTCACCCATGTAAGTGTGTTTCTGGAGCAAGGGAAAAAAAAACTTCCAGAAATAACCTTATGACTGTGATAAGAATATTTATTCTCTTTATATGCTCAGAAGACATTTATTACACTTTTAAGAATTGGACATCTGCATCTTCAGACTACAAGAACTATAATGCAGTTGTGAAGCAACCAAATTATTTTTGCTAGAAAAAGGAGCTGTTTTCATGTGATGAGTACTGTATGTGTGTCATTGAGRTATGTTGTCTGTTTCTTAAGTGTGTTGAATTTTATTTTTGTTAATTCACTTATATAATTTGTTTTTTTTTACTGTATAGACTATTCTGTTTACAATGTAAGTAATTTGATTTTAGACTTGGTTGTGCACAGTATTGACAAGGTACAATTGCTAATAGTGAAATTAATTGGAGTATCTCACCCATTAGAATATTCTGAAGACTGACTGCAGATTTCTTAAAACCTAAAATGATCTTTCACTGTAAATCTTAGTATGCTGATTATGGAGAAACATTTGGTTTTGATTCTGTTGCGTACTTGACTTAATTTTATTGCAATGTGAACTAATTGCACTGGTATGTAGAAAGATATGTAACCATTTTGTTGCTATTCATAACTGATTTTTGATGTGTGATCAACACAGTCACAAACATTTTACAAATCCATCCATTTTACAAAAAGGATGTAGCCTTTTCCATATAAATAAAATACATTTTCTACTTTTCTTGGCTATTTTTTTTATCTTAACTCGTACCTTTTTCTAAAGTACTTGTCTAACATTAGAAAATGGCCAGTAGTAAGTGTGTGTCTTGTAGACAGAATATCCAATAAAGCCATGCATCATGTACTACTTAGAACTGTGTTACAGCTGATTTTTATGCTAACTCTAGCCTAGTGGATTTAGCATACTATGCCCATTTTGGATATAGGATTTCAACTAGGTTAATACCATGCTACACCAATATTCAACTATAGAGGAGATAATCASAAGTGTTTGTTAAGGTTGTGTATTTGCAATATCACAAGTGTCTGTTAAGGTTTGTGTATTTGTTGTCCACTGCAATATCAGAATGTTACTCTTGAAAGTAACTTTTCTTGTTCTCACTCTTGAAAGTAACTTTTCCATTTACTTGAACTTCATTTGCTTCAGACTATGCATATGGAAACCAGTAGTGCTGAAGAAGGGCAATCTGCCCTTAAAATGTAGATTAAAAGCAGCAAAAAAACTTGACTTCCTATTATTCACTCTTGGTTATTTGGAAGTAAAAAAAAGGATAAAAACATTTTGTCATCTGTATCTTGCACATAAAAGAAGAATTACTTGCAGTTGGGAAATTTGTCATGATGAAATAGGTTTTAAGACAACAAATAAATTTGATTTGGGGTTTGTTTTGTTTTTTTTTTTTTTTATTCTAATATGTGTCAAATTAGAATTTGGAGTATGGGTGATAAGTGTGCACAATAGGAGTTTTTATTCCTACTAGTGGAATATTAGTTTTGTGTTTGCTGATTTACTGACCTTAAGTTGGTCACGTATGGGAAAATGTCATCTCTGCTAGTCTTGTCTATCATCTATTGGTGACATGTGAAACAGCAGCTTGATTGAGGGTGTCTCTAATCTTAAAATACCCTGTTCACTACATTTTGCAAACTGAATAAATGGATTTTTTTTGTTACTGATTGCTTCATTATACTTSAACTAGAACAATGTAGCTAGGAAAGCAAAGATCATTTAGTAATCCTTGCTYGAATGATCATAGAAAACTCTGACCCATCAGAATGTGTTCCCAGGGTTTTTATTTTTTCTAGGCAAATAGTAATCTGTTTATAGTAGAAGTTATTGAAATTTTTGGAGTATCTGTACTGAACTGTGTGAAATTGGAAGTAGGACTTGGTTTCTTTTATCAGTTTGTGTTAAAAATGGTTTGAGAACATTTGTACTTGTTACTTTGTAACTGGTAATGTTACTGCTTAGTACCATGCATGCAAGAATGACTTTCCACCACTTTAACAGGAGGATTGAAAACCAACAACCACCACCCCTTTGTAAGACATATTAAGCATAAATATTAAAAAAGGAACTTGTCTTATGATCATGCTGCTTTAWAGGTGTGAAGCTAGGTCTATATTTCTAGCAGTTCACATGCTTCTGCTTTTGAAATTATCGAAATGAAATTATAAATACATTATTTAAAACTTGAGTCATGCAATGAAATTACTTGGTTTAATCTGTGGAGAGAAACATCTCCACTACTGCACCTTCGGCGCTCCTCCGTTTATGCTTTTTTTACAACTTCTGTTTCTAGGGGCAGGGCTGCAAAGTTACTCCATTCTGTGCTGTTTCGGTGGACGGGGAAAAAAAAAAATCTTCCTTTGTCCCCGAGAACTGGTCGGAGCTGTGCCGTCTGCCGTTCCAGACACCTGCGCCCAAAAGTTTACCACTGAAGCCGTGGGGTTAGTTTTCGGCCACACCTCATCAATTGAAATAGTTACTTAATATCCATTACAAGTTTCTGCTTGCATGTGCCCGCTCCGGGCGCACGCGGCTGGCCCGTCCGCCGCCGCCTCAGTGCCCCGAGTGCCCGGGCGGGGCGGCCGCGGGGCGGGGCCGCGGGGCGGGGCCGCGGGGCGGGGCCGCGGGGTCACCCTGTCCCCGCCGTCCCGGTCCCGCCCCTCGCGCGCCTGTCCCGGGGTGCTGCGCGTCCCTCGCGCGCATGCGCGGCGGGTCGGGATGGCGGCGGCGGCGGCGGCTTTGCTGGGCCGGGCCGTGGGCCTGGGCCTGGGCAGCGGTACGGGTGGGCTGCGGCTCCTCCGCTGCGGAACGGGAGCAGGAGCGAGGCTGCGCGAGCGGGCGACGGGGATGCTCCTCGACGGTGCCGCCGTGTGCAGGGCCGGTGGCGCGGCGGRGCAATGCCTGTCTCGGGGGATCAGCTCGGATCAGCGCCCGAAGCGGCCCCTCACCGCCTATCTCCGTTTTGTGGTAGAGAACCGCTCGGCTTTTAGGGAAAAAAACCCAGGTACGAGGTGTGAGGGGAGGCGGGCCCGCGGATGGCGCTTTTGGGCGCCAGGGCTCAGAAACCGCCGACCCCCAGAGTGGGGCCACGGCCTGCGCCCCTCAGAGTGAGGTGATCCAGGAAGCCGGAACAACCCGTCCTTTTATAAAACCGACCCTCGGGAACGATCTAAAGTGATTCAGAGACCCAACCCTTCTGTTTATCCGTAACATTCCCCAAGTGAATCCAGCATGGCTGTACACACTGCCTGCACGTTCCTACTTGGTCTTCCGTGCTTCATAAGTCAAAAACGTGAACATGTGTGTAACTTTTAAAATGCTTGACAAAATAACTCATGTTATACATTTTAATAATGATTTGTGATTCTCAATTATTTTTTGACCTGTGTATTTGAAGTACACTTTTACTATGAGCTGTGTATGATTTTATTTTGAGGCTTAGTAATTGAAAAATTGCAGGTACTGGATTGCATCACTGYATATGGAAGAAAAAGTAAGTGTATTTAGAGGAAAATGGCTTTCTGTAAATATGTCTGATTTACTATCAAAAACTTGACTTATAGACAGTGCAGTCGCTCTTGCCAGAGAGCTGCAAAAATAGATATGCTGGTTTTGAAATACTGTTGAAGGTTAAAATGTTTAAAGAACTATGGTGGTATTGGGCAAATCCTGAGGAACATTTTAGTAGGGAAAACCATTTGATACCTTGTTTAGTTCACCAGTTCAAAAGTCACACTCTCATATGTTGGGAACAACTATCAGAGTATATTGTAGTTAAATACCACATCAGTGTTTTCCAAAATTTGAATAATCTGCAAATAAACATACTGGATCTTATATATAAATTGAGACTTTGGGGTTTTCTTGTTCCAAGAGAGGTATTGGTCAAAAATAACCCCATAATTTATTTGTTTTGTCATTGGTCAAAGCATCATATTTTCAGAGGTTTTAAGGTTGACCTACTTGCATGAAAACCTTCCCATTGTATTGTTTTTCCAGAATTCTGAAAGTCAGGTTACTGAGAAGAGCTTAGTTATGCTTTTCCACCATTGAGGTGGCTGAGCTTTTCATCTTAGGTGGGAGAGAAGCTCACCTGTTTTTTCTTTTATTGTGAAGTAGAGAGAAAACCTGTGAAGGATTTTTCAAAAAAACAGAATCTTACATCCTCTTTGTGCCACACTCGGGTTTGTTTGGGGTTTGTTGGCTTATTTGCTTGGTGCCTTTTTGTGGTTGGTTGGTTTGTTTTTAATTATTCTTTTCCCCTTCACAAATTCAAGTGTGGCTGGAGGCTTCATCAAGTGACCACAGTGCAAGAGCCAGATGCAAAGGCAGCCAGGTGAAAACCAAAGTAGACTGAAGGCCCTTRCTTTGTTTGTTGCAGAAAGAAATTACTTTTTTTAAAAAACTTGTTTTGAATAATACTGTAAATAAAGGATAATAAAGATCAAAATATATGTGCTATATCAAGTGGATAAAGTCACATTGTACTTGAATGAAGAATTCAGCAGACTTTTTTTGCTAAAAAACTTAGAACTGGAAATTTTATTTTTGGTTTCTTCCCTGCTCCCCCCTCCAAATTCAGTCCATCTTGCACAGTATAGAAAAGGATCCAACTCAAAAGACAAAAAGAATGAAATTATTGTGGAGTGATAATAGCTGCCTTGAAATGGTGCCTCAGTTTATAACTGCATGTTTTATTCCAGTGACCAATGACTCTTCCCCATCCCGCAAATATTGCAGTGCCCTTTAACTGCCACTGTGAGGTAGTTTTATGAAAGAATGAAAAAGCTTTTGTAACAGGAGGATGATACTTGTCGCAGCTTTCCTGGAGAAAAATTGAAGAAGCTTCCTTAGAGATACAATGTTGATCTTTATTTCTGGGTTTTTTCATGTTAATGTACAGAAGCAAGCAACTTGGAACTGATTAAAAAAATAGCGGGTGCGTGGAAGGAGTTACCAGCATCACAGAAGCAGGTAAGGTTGTATCTTTCCCTGAGTAATTTAAATTCTACAGGTGGTGGGTTTTTATTTGTTTTGATGTCTCTTGTGGTTTATTTGTTTAGTCTGGTGGGTTTTTTTGGCTGGTTGGTTTGTTTATAAAGGGCTTGAAAGAGCAGGTTTGTACAAAGGTTTAGRTATCAAAACCATAAGGAGCTTTGAATAACTCAAAGGAGGTGTGGTGACCCTGGCTGAATGCCAGGTGCCCACCAAAGCCACTCGCAACAGCTCTCCTCAGCTGGGCATGGGACAGAAAATTCCCCAAAAATTTTGTGGGTCACAATAAAGCAGGGAGAGGTCTCTCACCAGTTACTGTCAGGGCAAAACAAACTTAACTTGGGAAAATCAGTTTATTACCAATCAAATCAGAGTAGGGTAATGAGACATAAAAGCTTAAATCCTAAGACACCTTTCCCCCTACTCTTCCCAGGCTCAACATCACTCTCAATTTCTCTACTTCCTGCCACCAGCAGTGCAGGAGGACAGGGAATGGGGGCTGAGGTTAGTCCATTATGTGTTGTCTCTCCTGCTTCTTTCTGCTCAGCATGGGATTCCTTCCTCAGGGGACAATCCTGAATGAACTGCTCAGAGAGTGAGTCTATTCCCATGGCTTCAGTTCTTCAGGAGCTGCTCCAACAATTGTTCTTTTCCATGGGCTGCTGTCCATCAGGAATAGGCTGCTCTATTGTGGTTTGCCCACAGGGTCACAGCCCCCCTTTTGGGCATCCCTCTGCTCCATTGTGGTCTCCTCCACAGGCTGCAGGTGGATCTCTGCTTCCCCATGGACCAGCATGGTCTGCAGGGTACAGCTGCCTCACCATGGGCTGYGCCCCAGGCTGAAGGGGAACCTCAGCTTTGGTGCTTGGAACACTTCCTGCCCCTCCTTCTCTAACCTTAGGATTGGTAGAAACATTTTTCTGACATGGTGTTCCCGCTTTCTCTGGCTGAAGTTGTGCAGTTTTCTTTTTCTCCCTCTTAACTCCGTTATCCCAAAGGCRCCACCACCATTGCTGATGGCCAGCAGCCRATGCCTCTTGGAGCTGACTGGCCTTGGCTCCAGCAGGCATGGCAGCTTCTCATAGGAAACATCCTTGTACCCCCTTTGCCACTAAAATCTGGCCATGGAAACCCAATACAGGAAGATACTTTGCTACTTGTACTTGAACTTGTACATGATCTTGGCTTTAATAGTTTTAGTCTGTTGCCAGAAAAATGACGCAGCTCTCTCCATGCAGCTGTGGGCCTGCAAACCAATTCTTTCTCCTTTTTGAATGGCAATATTACATTACATGTGTAAGTTTTGTAAAGTTGTTCTGTTCTCTTGTATAAGTTAGGTGAAACTTCAGTTTTGATGAAAGGACCAATTTCTTTTGCTTCATGTAAATTTCTTTTAGGAGTCATCAAATTAAGTCATAAGTAGTGAAGTTTCTCTAAGAGTGACAGTTTCAAGGGATAATGTAAAGCAATGGTAGGACTTGCTGATCATTTCTGAATTGAAATACCATTTATAGCAAAGTAATKATTGTTCTTCCTTGATTTCAGTTGGCAATTAGATGCAGTTAGGAACTAAAATCAGTTTTTTAAAGAAAATATCTTTGTTCAGTAGAATTGAGGTGCTCTCACATCTCTTCTGGATTTCTCACTCTGTACCTTTCCCTTTGTGTCTCTGAAATGTAGAACAGGGAATCAAACAGGTGAAAATCTGATGTTCTGGGGTAATTTTCTTCAGGCTGTAAGTTTTTTAGTTATAGAAGTGTTAGCTTGTCTAATGGTCTAGTGCTTCTGACTGAAAGAATCTCTTTAAGGCTGATGGTTGTTTGTGCYGTAGGTTTATGAGGAAGCAAGAAAGACAGACTGGAAAAGATATGGAGAGCAGATGGCCGCTTACAAAGCCCAACTGACTCCAGCCCAGACTGCGGCTTTGAAAGAGGAAAGGAGAAAACAACTGGCAAAGAGAAGATCAATGAGGGCAAAAAGGGTAAGTATTTTGAAGTTCAGGTTTCTTTTCTCTCAAGGAACCTGATCTCTRTCTAGTATACAAAGAGTTGAAGCGTGTTTTAGAAATACAAAAGCAACTCAGAATAAAAGAAGACACACAACAAACAGAAACCCTCCCAAAATACCATGGACYAAAATAATTACTGGTGTTAGCAGCTATGTTAGTGGCCTTCCTGTGCTTGAAGAGCACAGAACTAACATTTATCTTTGTGCTTAGGGGTAGCTTCTCTATGCTTTTTTCTCCCTATTTCTAGAGCTGCCAGAGAGAGGATAGACAATAAAAGATATTTGGACCAGCCACACTTGATTCAGTTGGAAAGACATCCGAAAATAGCTTTTCACAAAGACCTTGTATCTGTTATCTCATTAGCCCCCACAAGGTAGCAGCTGTTTGGAGTAGCTTTTTTTCCTTCCCACTGAGTAACTACTGCTGTGTCATCTGTTTGTGTCCTTTACTAGCATATTCCTAAGCACCATCTTCCCTAGTCCCTTTTGGCTGGTTTATGTATAAATCCTTAGAGACAGAACCATCTGTAAAAGTACAGTATTAYGGTTTGGCAAAATCAAAGAGGCTATGTATTGCTTACTTATTTCTGTGAATTCGACTGGTGGTGTGACATTGCCCTTATTGGCAAAAGCAAAATGAATTTGGTTGAAAAAAACCCTACTTAGAGGGAGTWTTTATTGATCCTTTTTAGAGTATGGCACCCCAAGGAATTCAGTTAGCATATCTAATGCCTAAGCAGATGTTCATTTACAGCACTTAGGCTCCAGTGGGAATGTCAGGACTGGAGAAATGAGGAAGTGTAATTGCATTTGTAATTTGCTGTACTTTCATTCTCTAGCCATCATTCTCATAAGCACAGCATTCTGATAGCAGAAACTCAGTTCTTCCACTTTCTCACCTCCCACAGATAGATCTGCCCTCCTCTCTGCAAGCAGGCAGTTTTTCCACACCAGAAACTGAAGCCTTACTGAAGAATAATGGAAAATCTGTCACCATTACTTTCTTACAGAGTAGAATTTTGTAACACTATTTTGGAATACTTAGCTGATGTAAGAATCAGTTTTAAATGCTTTTTCAACAACTTGTGAAAAGTCAAGTTATTAGCTTTTTGTGGTTTAGCATTAGTCTTGAAAAGCACTAAGAGAGTCTTGACATACAGTCCAGTTTACAGAACAAAGCACCAAAGAATTTGTTTGATTTTTGTATCAAATACAAAGACAAATGCTAAGTTTAGCTTTGGGCAAAATGTGTGCTTGGTAGATGGAATAACTTCTCTTCTTGTTTTTAAAGGAATTGAATCTGCTTGGAAAACCTAAAAGAGCTCGTAGTGGCTTTAACATTTTCCTGTCAGAAAATTTTCAGCAAAGTGAGGGAATTTCACCTGTGGTAAGCCAGGAAAGATTGGKTTTTTTAAAAAAAAATATAAGCATTGTATTCAGAGAAATCTAATTTAGATTCTGTTATTTTCAAAGATATTGTTCAGTGGTTCAGTGTCGGGATGCTGCATTGGTTATTTTTTTTAAGCTGTGGTGATCTGGCTATACTGCTGGCCTGTATAAAGTGCTGTGTGGATATGCAGACTTAACATGTTGGTGTTTTTTTTGCACTTTGATGTTACAGATTTCATCTGTTCCTTTGTAAGGACAGAATGAATATTCTCTTTGTTTTGATGTAGAAATATAATAGTTTTTCAAAGAGTTGTGGTGGTGTGCTCCTGTTCTGGCAGTAGCAGTTTATTGTACCTTCTGTAGCTCAGTTGGTGTTACATGCTAACAGTGTTACCTGTAGCTCARGTGGTGGAACATGCAAGAGTCCCTCAGCAAACTCACAAATTCTGCACTAAACTGTGTTTTGGGTTGATGTAAGTGGTGGATTATAGCACTTGAAGAACTGGAGACCTGCCTTGTRTACCTCATGTGTTCCTTACCCTTCACATCTAGTCAGTAAGTCAGGATGGTGCATMTAGTTTGTTTCTCAGTTTCCATCTATAAAGGCAGGCTTCTCCAGTCAGCTGAGGCCTGGGCTGTAAATGTGACTCAGATGATGCCCAGAAGCTTGTTTTGAACTATATAGTTTATTATTTGCCTACATTAAAAGGTTAAATAAGGGCAAGTAACCTTTTGTGACTGTGCTTTTTTTGCATTGGTTTGTGCTTGACTTTCACTCATACASCATTCATCTATACCCCTCTGAAGTCAGTCTACTCCTAAAATAACCCTCACGTACTGCATTTTCTGTATCCCATAGGCAAAGCTGAAGAAACTATATGATGCATGGCAAAAATTGTCTACTTCCCAAAAACAGGTATGTCAGAGGATTTGGATGAGGCTCTGATCTAATCAGAATCACAAACGAGTCAAAAGTTATACAATACRAAATCATTAACCCGGTTGCTCAAAATATAATACTGAGGAAAATATTCCCAAGATGTTCATGCATTTCAAAAAAGATTGTCATTATCTTTATTCCACTAGTGACCATTTCATTCATAGTGTTATTGAAATGTGATAGGGATAGTGTGTAAGTCTGGTGTGCCTTCAAGTGGATGCTAAGCAACATCTAGAGAGGAAGGTGGAATAATATGCAACAATTTGATTTTTTTTCTAATAATCCATAATATCTTTAAACACCAGCATAAGTGTTTGCTGCTCATCAAAAGACTTCTGACAAGGGAAAACAACAGAAATCTACAAGTGATATGCATAGAGTAATTTATTAAGTTGGGTTTTCTAGGAGATAATTTTCTGGCAGCTTTCTCAGTGTATTGAACTATGAACCTGCAGATGAGCAAATCAAACATGGAGGGGTGTTGTACTGAAATCTAAAGTAAACCTTGACATTTTCACGTATTCTGTACCCTACAGTCCTTCTTCCTGAATGCCCTTCTTCCATGTGGTTTTTAATGTGCACTTAGGAAACAGCCTAGGTTCGTATTCTTACTGTAGAAAAATATTTAAAAATCATTCTACAGCAATATCTATTTCTGTTCCTCACACAATCCAGCTCTCTCAAACTAGTACTCAAATAAAAAAGCCTTAACTGTTAGTGGCAGTACTGAATGAACTTCCTCTTCAGGAATGGCCAACTGTTGACATARCTGCAGTTTACTGCTAAAGCTTAGTATTTTTCTGCAAGTTTGAAATTTTTTTTTCAGTTAACTGGAGTTGAAAGCAAATGCCTTGGGCTGTTCACTGCACAGGTGTTGTTTTAAATGACCTTTGTGTCATGGCAGTTTTCCAGAACAAGCCCCTTCTGTAACTCTTCTGTTACCTGATTTTCTTTCAGCCATACCTGCAGCTTGCTGAAGATGATAAGGTTCGGTATGAGAATGAAATGAAATCATGGGAAGCAAAAATGGTTGAACTGGGACGTGAAGACCTGGTGCGTTCCAGAAAGCAAAGGCTAAAAAAGAAACCTGCTGAAACTGCAAAGCAAGCTGAAACAGCCAAAGCTTCCTCTGGTGGAAACAAGGCAAAATTAAAGTTAAAAAAATCAGAAGAATAAAAAATCCCCTTTGGTTGTCATATTTCTGTCCTGCTGTGTTAATGCTGCAGTCAGCATTAGCACAAAAATTTGGAAGCCSCATGAAGGGCCTATTGGAATGATGATCAAGTAAGAGAGGTGTTACTGTCTCTCAGAACTGACTGAAATAATCACTGAACTGTAGAACAGCAATCGGTTAATCAAGCTGTGAATACTGATACCTACTGACGTCAGCAGAACTCTCCAGTAACAGTAGATAATAGCCACCTTTTATAAGGTATTTTTAATACCTTGAAATACCTTTTTTAATACCTTGAAAAAAAATKCTTTCTTTATGGAAGAAAGAATATTCTACAATGTTACCATCTAAATTCTGTAAATAAGAGCTGAACTCTGAATTAATGCTGCTGTGTTGTATTCCCTCCATGTTACTGGTAGTGAAATGTTCTACATTTCAATGACAGGCACAAGAAATGTAAAATACTATCTTTTATTTTATGCATCTGTCTTTTTGTACCTGGTAATCTGTGTATGCCACTTATATTGCATTTAATTAAAGACCATACGAGTTTTGTATGAAGGTACCTTTACTGGACTTTTATTCCATGATTTTGTTTGGATACATGCAAACACTTTTGTCTTGCTGTTGTCACATTTGGGACAGCCTAAAGGAAAAGAAAAAAATGTGAACTGTTAGGACTTTGAGTTTTGATGTAATAAATACAGGTATTTTGAAGAGATGAATGGTTTCTTTCCTGGGGTCTCTCTGTCTTAGTGAAAGTCTCATAGGTGTTTTGAGGAATCTGTTTAGAAGGCAGGCCAACCTTTTTCCATAGTTGGTGGATCTTACCTGTCCTGAGGGACCCACAAAATAATGGCATTCTAGAAAGGCTTGGGTTGGAAGGGTCCTTTAAGATTACATAGTTCCCACACCCCTCCCATGCCGCTGTAACTCAGGTTGCTCAGGGCCATCCCGCGCCCCCTGCGCCGCCATCTTGTGTGGGGCACGGCGATTGGATCCAGCGGCACAGGTGTCTGCTCATACGGCCACTGTATTTCCGACGCAGATCCCGCGCTTTCGGGGCGATTTCCTGCGGTGTTTTTCGGTGGGGGAACACGGGCGGTGCGGTCAGTGGCGGCGGGGGGGTAGGGAAACACGCGGACGGCGACAGGCGCCGGCGGGACCGGCCCTTTCATGGCCGCGCCTCTCCCGCCCCTCAGGAAGGCCCCCACCGGCGCGCACGGCGGCAGCTACAGAGGGGCCTCGGCAGGAGGGGCCGGGGGGGATCGGCTGCGCCCCGCCACGCACTGCTTCAGCCCGCAGGGAAAGCCCCCCCCTCCCCCGGGCACCACATAGTGCATCTGCTCTAGGCTAAACAAGTACTGGTTTATCTGTACGGTGGGGGTTTGTTCACTGTTTCTCACAGCTCATACAGTACGTGGCACCCCAGGAATGCCGTGCAGAGATTTGGGATATGGATTAGGACGCAAGTGGAGGTACAAGAGCACTACCCATGACTCCATCCCTACCCTTACCCTAACCAAAGCCCTAACAAAATCCTTTTCTCCTCACGGTGGCAGAAGGCAGCAACTCCGATGCCAGGACAGAGCCAGGAGTCTCATAGCACCTGTGGCGAGGAACCCTAACCCCGGGACAAYTTTAGAACTCTCATAGTAGTACAAGATGTGCTCCAAAAAGGTAGGGATGTCATCCGTGGGCTAGAGCGTGGCAGGTAGGGGCTGGGGGCTGAGGGATTCACAGCAGGAGTTAGCAGCATGGGGCAGAGTATTCAAGACACAGGTTCAGGAGTCTGGGATTAGGGGTCCACGATTATGGAGTAGGGGTCTGGGATTACGGATTTGGGATAAGGTGTCCAGGATTAGGGAACAATGCTAAAAGCCCATGTTACAAAATTTAAAAAAAAATAAAAAAAATATCACAATAACAAAAAACAAGCCTACAAAAAGCTAGGTTCCAAAATACAAAAATTAAAAAAAAAAAAATCAGATTTCAAAATACTAGAATAATGTATTTTCAAAATAATAGCAAAACAAATTTCAAAATATCAGAAAACCAGGTTGCAAAATCCCAGTTTTTAAGTAGCAGAATACCAAGTTCCAACATAGCAAAGTAACAGTCTCAAAATACCAGAAACTATTAAAGAAACCCAGTTTCAAAAATACTGAAGCAACGACGTTCCAAAATATCCAAGTGTCCCGTTTTCAAAATACGAAGTTCTAGAATACCAGTTTTTAAATTTCTTCTATGAGCAGGATTCCCAAACCTAAAATAATGCATTATTGTCAAAATGGGATCTATGCTGCCAAAATGGCTATTTTCTGTTCTGAAAAGCTTTTCCCCAATGAGCATTAATAGGTGTATTTATTTTGATCATGTAGCCAGATGTCCAAAGAATTTTACTTTCAAAGCAAACGCTTGTAGTAGTTTTCTGCTTAATTTGTGGGAACTGGGATTTGGGCAAAGGAGCTGTGCTTGAGAACAAAGGATGGAGTACATCTGTCCCCTAGATGCGCAGTGAAACACTGAGTAGCAGGCAGTTGGGAGTATTTATAAACTATGTATCAGTATTTCAGTGAAATTGGGGCTGGACCGGTGATGGGGGTGCTTGCGTTGGGTCTAGGTCTGTCCCAATTAGCCAGAAACAAGCTGGCCAAAGCCCTGGCCCCGCAAGGGACTTGTCAAATATTTCAACAGAAACAGAAGTCAGGAGTGATTACAGAGGAAAAACTTCTGCTAATCGCTTATGATCCATGGGGAATTTCCTGTGTAATTCCAAGTCTAGGATGCAGGGAATTTTGGAGGCAGAATCCCAAATGTGGCCAAGGGCTCCCGGGTGAGAAAGCCATTTCTTTTCCACGGAAAGGAAAGCCCAGAACCCCAGTGTTGCAGAGGCATACAGTGGGCTGTGTGAGGGGAGGGAACGAGTGGTAGGACCTTTCTCCACTTCACCCCATCCCTCAGCAGGTGCGAGCAGTGAAGATGAAGAGGGGGCGGCTCCCACCAGAGGCTGCTTTCGGAGGATTACGTGGGCAAATTTGCACAGGGAGCTGCTGAAGGAGAGAGGACAACAAGGGCATCCCGAGCATCCCTCGAGGAATGAGATCGCAGCACCCGGCAGGGACCAGGGAGGAGCCAGACAGAGCCGGGCACCGAGCATGGCTCCGAGACAATACCGAGGGAAAAGCTCTCATGCCAAGGGGCAGTACCTGAGCAGGCAGAGCAGCATGTGGAGCCCCAGGGGGAAACATTCAGCTTTCCCCTTTCAACTTGTCAGTCTCTTAAACAGAGCCCCCTGTCTCTCCACAGTACCCTTAGAAAAGAGGGTGGATATTGGGAGAAAAGGGGTTTAAGTTGAGGGAAAAAACTTCCATGATTGTGTTCAAATTGACGGGGAGTGCTCTTCCCCTGTAATTTTAATGGTATCAGCTGAAGGAAACCCTGCCTTTTCCATGCTGTCGGGGGTATCGCTTGACGGGGTATCCCCATTTCTCATTACTTCCAAGTTCAAATGCACGGGGAAAACCTTGACCATGCTACTTGGTGGGTTTAAAATAAGGGTAACTCCCTCATTTTCATCATCCTAAGGTTTAAACTGGGGGGTGGAAGCCCAGTCGGCCTCCCTTTTTATAGGTTTGAAGGGAGGGAAAATCCCCGTTTTTACATCATTTGAGAGATTGGAAATGAGGAACCCCCCTCTTTTCCCAGTATTTTAGAGGACTAAATTAAAGGGGAAAAGGGGATTAAATCAAAGGGGAGAAGCCCTTTATTTGCCRTTGTATTGGTTTAAGTGGAGGTAAACACTTGCCCTGTTCCCTCATTTTAAGAGGTTCAGTTGAAGGAAGCTCTGCCTTTTTCAGCATTTTAAGAGTTTAAATCTGCATTTCAAGGTGCTTCTACCCATGGCCCGGCCACAAATATCTGGCATGGGAGTGAGCCGGCATATCCATAACCCTAATGCTGCACAATGTTGCTCACCACGGTTTGAGTGCAGAGCGCATTGGGCTGGGATTTTGTTGGACAGGACAAATTTTTTGGAGGCTCCCAGAAACCATGTTCCCACGCGGTGCTGCCGGTGTGCGCCAACGGCCATGGCGGTGGGGATGAGAGCAAGAGTGGTTTTGTGGGTGAGCTGAAGGAAGTGTGTGTGCTGGGTGAGTGTTATGTTCTCTGCGTGCTGCTTTTGATTTGGGCTACCTCTCACAATAACACAAAATGTCATCGATTATCCAGAAACAGGAAAATTGTTCTCTTGTGTTGATATGTATTTGCCTTGTATTCCCCTGTGCTGCTCTGTATTTGTGTTGCTGTCACATTCCCGTGGATTCCTCTGGATGGAAATTGTACTTTGACCAGCGTGTCTGTGGATTGTATTTGTAATTTTCTTTCTACACACTGTTGTTTCCATGTGTTTCACTGAAGTGCAAATAAATTAAAAATTCATCCAATGAGGTTCAACAAGCCCAAATAAGGACAACCCCACCTCCCCACCCCCCCCACCTTTTGGCTCCTGTCTCTTTCTCACTCTGTCTATTGCATGGATTCCCACTTTTCAGTTTCTGTCTCTGCTTCTCTTTTTCTGTTATTCAGAGTCTCTTTCCTTTTCACTCTGTCCAACTCTGTTTTCTGTTTCTCAGTTTCTATAACTCTAGTTTATTTTCTAGTTCTCTGTACCTCTAATTCCTATTTGTCTCTGATTTACAAGCAAAATCTCTCAGAGAAATGCTTTCTCTAAGATGCCCCCACAGTCTGCTGCGTTGCGCCTTCCAAAGCGTGCGAACAACCGAGATCTCACCCTGGAAAGCAGCACTTTTGCAAAGAGGCTGTTGCCATCTAGCCAGCCCCGTGCCTGCTTCCAGGCAGCCGAGATGAAGAACGAGAGAGAGTTTACAAGAAGAATGTCTCAGACAAATGCTTTCTCTAAGGTSCCCCCTCAGTCTGCTGCRTTGCACCTTCCAAAGCGTGCGAAGAAGTGAGATCTTGCCCTGTAAAGCAGCACTTTTGCTTCCACGGTGTGCTGCCTTTCGCTGTACATAGCGTGCAGAAGCGGTTGCTCGCAGTGAGAGGAGCAATTTTTGAAAGAGCCTTTGCCCTTGTTCCCCACGCGTGAGCGCTTGCAGGCAAGCGAGATAGAGCAAATTAGAGTGTTTGCAAACAAGAATTCTCGTGGGAATACTTGGTGCAAGGTGCTTCCACGGTGTGCTGCCTTTTGCTGTACATAGCATGCAGAAGCGGTTGCTCGTAGTGAGATAAGCACTTTTTGAAAAAGCCTTTGGCTGGTTTGAGCACATAAACACCAGTACTTTTTTTTACCGAGATATGTGAAAAGGATATAAGCAAGGGAATGGTTTACAGAATTTCACTTCAGAAAATTTGCAGTTGCAGAACATTTATTTCAAACCTCATCTTAAAGGAAGCATACACAAGGAATATGTVCAAAGAGGGATGGTTAAAAACCCAGGATGACAGATTTTCACATGTAGTTGCGATTGTGACAAAGAATTACTTCTGTGAAAAGACCCTTCTAAAACATCATGATAAAAGGCTCTGCCACTCATACTTGGCAGCTAG